CTAAGTATGAATTCTTGCGCCCGCCCTCGCGCCACCTTGCGCGCACATGGGGTTTTTGCAACCCCTTTCAAAACCCTAATGCCGCCTTTAGTCATGTTACAAGAGTCGGGGGTTTAGAACGACATCCAAGTGCTGCTGTCGGCTCTCCACATTTTTGGAAAGCTTCGCCGTGCGAGGATTTTAGCGGGGATTGCAGAGGCAGGGAGTTTTAGCGTGCAGGCAGCCGGAGCAACAAAAGTGACAGTGACTTCACGAGACACGACGCGCTGCAGCCACGAATGCTAAAATTAAAACGTGCATGCACGTGGGGATTTCCCAAAATTAGGGGTACCTTTCGGTGATCCCAATATTTTTGTTTTAAGAATTCAGTCTGCGCAAGCACCAGGGCTCTGGACCCTCATGACTGGATTCGCTTACACAAATTACATACCTGAAGTCCATTGCTCACGCGCAGGATTGCTGCGGGCAACCTTCATTCAAGGCCGGTGCAGACTTGGGAATCCGAGGCTCTTTGAAGCGAATACTTCTGAGAAGGCAGTGCGCACGCTCTCCCTGAGTTGGGAACAAGGCTTGCAAAGGCATGGCAGTCTCCCCTTTCTGGATTGCGTGAACATTTTGAACAGCTGAGTTCGTGACCATGAAATTGGAACATGCCCAACAAGAAACATGGCATCCGCTGTTGAGGGCATGCAGGGTTTAGACTCATGTGCCGGGACGACACACCTCACATGCTGCACTGTGCTTGTCAGCTGCTGATCCTGCAGCACCACTGTGAGCAAATTCCACAGCCTCACCGCTTCACTCCATACATGATCCCATCCAATGGGCATCTGCCCTGGGATTTCCTTGAGCACTATAGTTTATAGATTTGAACAACCCGGAACATGTGCAGTCAAGGACAACAGTTGAGTATGCAAACTGTCCGAACTGCCTTTCGCATCTTCAAGGCATGGCTTGGCAGCGATGGCGGCTGGTTGCAGCAAGGCTGAGCAAGCTATTTTAGCCTGCCGCATGCATGAATGCCATGTTAATGTTGGTGCAGGGTGCAGGAGGACGAGGAGACTCCCATATCCTCGCGCCATAAAAAAGAGAATTTGTGACAGTTCCCGCGTTCGACTAAGACTTCCCGTGTCTGACATCGAACTCGCGGTTGCCCGTGGCTGCATGAACAACTCACGGAACATCACACTTCTTTGCCTGGGGGAGAAAAGAAGGAAAGCAACCCCTCATTGCTTGCTCGGCTCTCAACAATTGCAAGCATGCAGTGCGCCTGGTATGCGTGTTAGACGGCCTAATTTTCTAGGGTGCGCGACTTGGCAGATGTCAGGTGTAGAGACCACGACGGTGAAAGCTTCGTGTGGCCCGTGCAATGGCGCGCATGGGCGCTCGAAGATGCTCTGCAAGGCAGTGAAAATTAAAGGGCGAATTCCGAAGGGGTCAAGCGCATTTTGTTGAGACAAGGCGCGTACGCCATCAGGCGAAGGTCCTGGGCAGGCCCTTTTCCTCACATGTCCAGAAGCTCACTGTTATTGCCCTGGCACTAAACCCTTCAACCCTTCAAAGCAGTCAACTTGTTAGTCCAGCGACCTTTTTTTTAATATGCGCAGCGAGCAAGCGCACTGCAAGGACTACCACCCCCAATCGCTGGGTACGAGCCAGGACGGGTCCACCTCATCGGTGCAGGCCAGCCGGTCTCACCAGCCAAAGTTGAAGAACCAAGCATGAACCTGGAAGCCTCCACCACGAAGAGGAGCAAAGGACTCCCCGCCATCGCCATCCAGAAGGCTCCAATTCCACGCCAGAGGCGCGGAAACTTCGAATTCAGGGGGGTGAATCGGAAGCACTCAATCACTGGCACGAGGGATTCCAAGCCAATGACAGCGACCACCTTCGCCCCACACGAAGTTCGCCAAGACAAGCCATGCACCTTGCCACAGGGCATGATCTCAGCAAAGTCCCGCATCGCCAAAACCAAACATCAGAGCGCCATGGCATGGCACAACGCACGCAGGCACTCTTCGCGCCCCTACCTCCCTAAACCCCCTAATACCCCAAGCTGGACCACGCAGAATCCCCACGCTAAAGGGGGAGAGGCGCAGGAAAATGGAACTTCCAAAGCTTCGCCTTCCCATCAGAATGTTGCGGGCACCCATGTTCCACAAGTGCTCGTCTCCGGCCCCCATCTGATGCATTAAATTGGCCGCTCGAGCGCAAGGCAATACTGCGGACTTTCAACCCCATGGCTGCAACATGAGGGAACCATAATGGAACTATGAACCCGCCGCCTCACTGGTTCCATTTTCCCAGACACGACATATCCCAATGCAATTCGCAACAGAAAATGGAACCTGATAGTTGGAATCTAGGCGGCGGGCCCCCGGCAAATTCCATTTCCTAAGGGCGGGGGATCACGCAGAGGTGGTACCTGAGCCCAGCTCCCGTTTTCTTGTGCCGCCGAGGTTCGCCAGCGGTGTATAGGGGCATGGCCACCTAGACTCGCCAATAGACAGTAGCTTTGGGACTGAACCCAAGCACGCATTAGTGCCTTTGCAATGATCAGGACGCAGAAAGTCCGTTGTTTTTTTTCGCATCCCCCCTTGCTTAGCCGGGGGGAAATGGGAACGAATGTTCGCACAAGTGTGCGGCGTCCAGAGCGACTGACTGCTTGGCAAGCAAGTCTTGCGGCAGGGAGCTGGCATTGCGGGCATCATGCTGAGTAATCAAACGAATGTATGAATGTTGCACTCATATTTTGCCAAGACACTCTCTTTAAGCTTAAAGAGTTTTGGCCCATTGTTTCACGACTTTCTTTCATGTGTTTTGGTCTTGAGCCTATAACCGAATCCAGACCATCCCCTTCAAAGTAATCCCCAGACCCCGCCAGAACTCTCAGTACCATGGGAGCCTTATTGAGGATGCCCGATGTTTTATTTTCTCGAGGTCAATAGGGGGGGAGGGGGTGGGGACCCCATACACAAAAAAGAGTATAACATCACAAAACCCAGCAGCACGTGCGAGACACTTCTGCAGCGACTGGTGCCGCGCAAGGTACCCAGAAAGTAGTGTTGCTGGACTTACTCGTGCAAACCACATGTGCGTGTTTCCGCCACTGGGTTTAATTAATGCGAGGCGGCGCTTCGTTATATATCCAATTGACAAGCGGCAATGCGCTTGACTTCGTCCTCAAGCCGTGGCAACTGAAGTTTTCTGGATTTGAGATCCCGGAGCCCATGCTCTGCGCCCATGTCGCTCAACCACGGGCAAGACACCCCGGAGTGCGAAGATCTCGCGGAGCTCTTTCCGGAAATGTGCGGGCCGCCCGATCAACCCTTAAGGTACCTCCAAACGTCCTCCTCCATTTCACGCGGCCTATGTCGGAGGTTTCGGGCACCGACATGGGAAACTCAGCAGCGATGCGTGGCAGTCCAAATGCCAGCCAAAGGGAGATCCGCCGAAAAGCAGACAACGCCATGAGAGCGCCCCCGAAAGTCATCCACACCCCTCCCCCTTCCAGCACCCACAGCCAGGAGCTGCTCACGGCGGCAACTTTTGAAACCCAGTGTGGTGGCTCTTTCCAGTCCAAGATTCTACGGCACTCACGGAGGCACCTGGGGCAACAGTAGAACGCTCTCTTTGAATTGAAGCAAGGCCTCGTTGAAACAGTGCGTTTGGTTGCAGATGCTCCCACCACAAGCGCTACTCGGTGCGCCACTTTTCGAGTTTCCAACCTGGAGCCTAAGTGGTTCGAACAGACAGGCCCTAAGACAAGCAAAAGGATGCTTGACGTGTCAAGGTCCCTCTTGGCATGGGAATCAATAGAAGCATTGCGAGGCAACGACCGCCCTCGGCCATGGAGCGCCATGATTCCAAACGCTGCATAACGGCGGCGTGTCTTGGAAGCAAAGGTCCAACAAGACAGACGCCCGCCCATTTGAAGATGGAGGGGGCGTGTTCCAAACGCAGAGCGCAGCATGAGCCTTACATCGGCTTGAAGCCGTCATCCTCCGAGACTTGCTGTAGTGAGTGTGCCAAGGACATGACATCTGTGCGAAGCATGTTCCCACTCTCAACGCGAAGCGCTGCGTGAACATGCTGCATCATTCAAGGCAAGGCCCCTAAACGCGATAAACGTGAACTGCGCAGAACTAACTGCCCTAAGACACCTGGGCTCCTTAGACCAGACCTCGCCCTGCTTGTGAAAGCTACGTCAGGATTGTACACGGTATGGACCAACAGTCTGCGGATCATTATACATCCCACGGAAGAACGTTCTCTCACTTCGCATGCCATCTTGCGAGCAAGCCCATCAGGCCACGCACAAGGTCCTCTGCTCTCAGTCCACACATCTCGCGGCGGGTGGTTGCACCTACCAACTTCACGAACCGTCCCGGGATGACATCTGCACTGCGCTGCATGGACCGACAAATGAATTTGACGCCTGTACTTGAAATCTGCGATCCTACAGCGCTTAACAGGGGGTTCTGTGCAAAATGCTGAAGTGGACGGGTTTAGGCCCTTTAGGCTTGCCCTCACCAATGCACCACAGAGCAGGCGCAAACGCCGTCTCTCTCTTTACGCAGCGTGATGGATCATCAGGAATCAGGAGCTGTGGAAGGGT